GGAGGAGGAGGAGGAGGAGGAAGAAGAAGAAGAAGAAGAAGAAGAAGAAGAAGAAGAAGAAGAAGAAGAAGAAGAAGAAGAAGAAGAAGAAGAAGATCTTTGTTAATTTTTATGTTTCCTGATTCACTCTGAATGCTTCCAAAATATTTTCCAAAGGACTTGTATTAATATTCATTCCTGCCAATTTATAGGAACATATGCTTTAAAATATTTTAGTCTCTTTTACATGTTTGCTTGTCTTAATAAGGTGCAAAACTCTCAGGGGCAAGAACAAGAGAGTGGATGAGTTTCTGCCATCAAAGAGGAACACAGCCCTGTGCTGCCTGTAATGAGCCTGACGCTTCATTTAGATATATGGTCCCACACATGCTCCCACATGGGGGCCATTTATTTACAATGCCAAGGCACCCTCAAAAGAATGAAAGACTTGGCCTATCCACTGACTGCTCAGAACCTCTGAGTGATTCAGAGAACCGCATTTCAAAAGATGCAAAACACCGCATCCCAACACCCATGGTCTTTGCTGGATTCCAGTGAGTTTTTCATCCCAGCTGAGGCTGGGACACTTTCTGCAGAGAGTTTTATAGTAACACAGACTGGCGGTCATGTGAGTCCAGGCTCACCTCTCAGCCCTGTCATCCTATCCTGTAAACAGGTGCACCTGAGGAGCATTCACGTATACAGAGGAAGACTGCTCTTCCTTTTTTTTTTTTTTTTTTTTTTTTTTTTTTGGCTCCTGGCTTCACAGTCCCTTCCTGGTGATCTTGGGAGACACAGTCCTTCTCACCTCCGCTTATAGAGCAGGGGGTCAGAATCTGAGAACCTCTGAGGCTGCATGTGAAAGAGCCTTATGACAACCAGGGTGGTCCCCACTCCCCAGCGCTCCTGGTAGGACAGGGCCTGGAGAACCTGGCTGTAGATGGGAAAGGAAGGGCCCATCACAGGAAAGGCCTTTCGGAACTTTCAGCTTGCCCAAAATCCACACACAGGAATATCTGTGTGTCTGTTTGGTATTAAGGATGATGCTGGCAGTGAGGAGGGAGAGTAACTCATGGTGATGATGCAACAACTCACACTCTGAGCAGCAGATAAAGAGGCCACGTGCAGGACACACTCCTTGCTGCCACTTTCCTGCCTGTCTCTCTTCGTGCTTAGCAAAAATCTAAATCTGCCTGAGGATGTGGGTCCTTTCTCTCACAGTCCCTTGGGTATTCCTTCCTTAGATCTGGCTAAAGCCATCAGCCTAGAATGTAGCAAGGTCTTCATAGGTACCTATTTAGTGCTTTGCAATGTGATCATTGACACTAATATATGCCATTAGTGGTGACCTGCCAGTACCCTGGGTCACAGCTAATCTCTTCTCCCCTCCAGGTACCAGCAGCACAGAAGTGAAGGAGAACCGCAATGTGAGCAACTTGGGAACCAGGCCCCTGCCACCAGGGGACCGGGCTAGAGTCAGCACTCCCAGCATTAAAAGAAAAAGGCCCCTGGAGGAAGGGAATGGGGGCCACTTCTGCAAACTCCAGCTCATCTGGAAGAAGCTGTCCTGGTCAATGACGCCCAAGAATGCACTCGTCCAGCTGCATGAGCTGAAGCCAGGTCTACAGTACCGGATGGTGTCGCAGACAGGCCCAGTTCATGCTCCAGTCTTCGCCGTGGCGGTGGAAGTGAACGGACTCACATTTGAGGGTACAGGGCCTACCAAGAAGAAAGCCAAGATGCGTGCAGCCGAGCTGGCGCTGAAGTCCTTCGTGCAATTTCCCAATGCCTGCCAGGCCCACCTGGCCATGGGCAGCGGCACCAGCCTGTGCACAGACTTCACTTCAGACCAGGCTGACTTCCCAGACACGCTGTTCAAGGAGTTTGAGCCATCGGCACCCAGTGAGGGTTTCCCTGCCTGCCGGCCTGTGGACCCCGAGTTCCTGTCCACTGCCTACCGGAGAGGACGACTGCTCTACCATACCCTGGACCTCATGGGCCCGGCCCGGCCGGACCGGTCTTGGCCTGCTCCGGCAGCCCCAGGAGAGAGAAACCCAGTGGTTGTGCTGAATGAGCTACGCTCGGGTCTGCGGTATGTGTGCCTCTCTGAAACGGCCGAGAAACCCCGCACCAAGAGCTTTGTCATGGCTGTGTGCGTGGACGGGAGGACGTTCGAAGGCTCAGGACGCAGCAAGAAGTTGGCCAAAGGCCAGGCGGCACAGGCAGCCCTGCAGGCCCTCTTCGATATCAGGCTACCTGGCCACACCCCCAGCAGGAGTAAAAGTAACCTCTTGCCACAGGTGAGAATTCTCAGATAGCTGCCTGCCGGGTACAGGGCTGCTGGGATGGAGGTGAGTTGGGGTTGCTCTGAGCCACAAAGAATAGACAGTGGCTGTGAGCAGAGTGCAGTCCCTGCACTGGGAGTCCTGGAAAGGCCCCCTTTCCCAATTATAGAGCAATTTCCAAGCTTTTGGAAGAGAGAAAATTGTGTGAACATAAAAGAAAATGTCTGCACTCCAACTTAGCAAAGGTAGTGAAAGAATTTATAAAACCAGGATGACTTTTACAATGATAACACCCACTACAGACAGCAAGTGGCCAACAATAGACAGGGGACCCTTCTGTGTGCACTGAGCTTCTGCCCCTGCGGGAAGGGCAGATTTCATTCTCGGGCCCTTCAGGAACAGCGGCAGAAGAGTGGGCGGAAAAACGCATTAGGCAGTGGCTTGGGATGAGTGTCTAACCAAAGAGGTTGGAGAAAACCAAGCAGATCGAGATTGTCCCACTGGAGGGCAAGGTCTCTGTGGTCCTCAATGAGGCCAGGTAGAGATTTCCTGGGTGGGACCCCACCGAGCCTGTGGATCAGAGGGGAAATGAGTGCTGTAAGGCAGAGGAGTCTAGAATTAGAGAACCAGGGGTCAGAGTCCCTTTGCTCAACCAACAGGATCATCCCTCAGGCCTCTGCATGCACAACTGTGGGTTTGCTTCTTTACATAAGTTTGCTTTCACTCATTTAAGAAGTATTTTTAGTACTGTCTCTGTGGCAGGAACTATTCTCATACCATTTTAAAACAGCCTTATACTGACAAGTCTTGTAATTGCTTATTTATGCAAATTGTCTTTTATCTTATCATTTTGAGAATTATTTGTGAGCATCACTAATGTAGTAGATACAGAAAATTATCTTTATTCATTCTGGGCATCAATCAAGGCAAGAAACACTTTACATAGTTAAAAAGCACTTAGCCCAGTGCGGGATTCATTCTAAGTACTTAATAATTGTAAGCTATTGCTTTGATCGCTACCATCATTACATCACTGCACCTAGAATAGAATCCATTATTTTGTCTTGGGAGATCATAAACCCATCAAAGAATGCAAGGTGCCACCCCTCCTTCACATGTTCCTCAAGGATAGTGTGGGGACACCACCTGCATACAGGGATCCTTCCCCTGGAATCATGAGTGTGCAGTGGCTTCATGTATACATTAATTCAACCGACATTTATGGGATTGTAAGCAGGCAGTCAATGGGGCAGACAATGAGATGGCAGACATTCTGCTTCTCACAAAACGTGGGCAAGTAAATAGAACATAAATAGATAAAGAGGTGTGATGGAAGATGACTGCTTCTTCTGCTAGCTCTACTTTTCATTCGTCCACTTAATTTCAGCATTTATTGGCCATCCAATGATTATTTACGGAGTGAGTGGAAGGAGTTTAGGCCATAATCTCACTGATCTTGCCTTGCAACTCACCCCAGACACATACACAATCCAAGTGAAAGTATGGTGCTGGCAAGGCAAGAACAGCATCTTCATACACCTCTGTATACCTCCTGCTGAGAAATTCTGTGACCTTGCTTTCTCTTTCTAATGCCTCCATCTTTTTCTTTTTCTTTTTTTTTTTTTTTTTTTTTTTTTTTTTCTTTTTCTGTACTTTTAGTGAAGGGCCTACAGGGTGTTCTGGGTCTCTCTGCTGGGCTCCAGGGTGCACAACATGTCCTCTGCAGAAATGATACCACACCACGTGTAAAGTCAACAAAGGACAAAAAAAAAAAAAAAAATT